GTCTCTGGAAGGTTTGCGGTTGATTTTATATTCCAATGAAATCTTTTTAATGCACCCTCTAGAAAGGGTGTGGATCACTACAGCTCAGTGGGATTTTATGGCTGTTAAGACTGGGGAGAAAATAATTAAAAAATCATTGAACGGCTCACTGTCATTCACCCTCCACACCATGGAGGTGCCAGGATTTCAGGACTTTCTGGAGACCATCAATCCTCTTCCAGTCTACATTTTATTTTCTAAAGGAGTTCTGGTGCACTGCTTTTTTCTGTTCATTCCCAAGATATGGCCTGTATTTTCCAAACCAGGGAACTGCACGGGGCAGGAGAGGCTGGAGAGTCTCCCCAGAGCTGTGTTTGAAATGCAAATGTCTGGCCAGAGCTACAGTATCTACAATGCTGTGTATGCTGTAGCCCATGCTCTTCATGCCATGTATTCCTCAAGAGCCAAGCATAAAGCAAGGGGAATCCTTGAAGTCGGGGCCTGGCAGGTAGCTACAGCTTCTTCAATTAAATTAGAAGATATAATAAAATAAAACAGAAACACAGTTTTCTGTTATTATTGTTTCATGTTTCATACGGCATCCACAACGTTTCCTGGTGCTTACCCATGTTAGTACTGCCACTGAGCAGAGGAAGACCTACAGTTCAGACACAAATCACACCAGAGGTGCCAATTGGTGAGGGAGATGGGTGTGGGGTGTGGATGATGCATGTGTGACATCACAGCATGAGGTCAGGTTGTTGAGAGGAGCCAGGTGGTGACAGTGTGGCTTCAATGGTTGGCTTGCATCTCCTCTCTGGAGCTTGTCCTCCTCTTCTTCATTCTCCTGCTGCCACCATTGGTCAGGGGCTGCATTCCACCGCCTTCCCATCCAGGGCAGGAGGAGGAGGAGAAGGAGGAGGAGGAGCTGGCATCCACTGCCCCCCAATTTTGGCTCCCACACCCAAAATTATTTTGGCCCCCAAATGAGGTGTGTTCCTAGGATTGTCACCCCTGGATAACATGCTTCACATGCTTTGGATCCCAGCCTGTTACTGTATTCTCCAGTGAAAGCAGGGGTCTTTGGAAGCATGACCTGGCACATAGTTCTACCCTGAAGTCCAGAGATCTGCTGCTGAGCTGCAGAGACCAATTGGAAGCTTCTAGTATTGACTTCGGTACTTTGGCCACCACATGAGAAGAGAAAACTCCCTGGAAAAGACCCTGATGTTGGGAAAGATTGAGGGCACAAGGAGAAGGGGACAACAGAGGACGACATGGTTGGACAGTGTTCTCAAGCTACCAACATGAGTTTGATCAAACTCTTGGAGGCAGTGGAAGACAGGAGTGCCTGGTGTGCTCTGGTCCATGGGGGTCACGAAGAGTCGGACACGACTAAACAACAACAAGAATTATTGGCTATATGCCATTCTTGGACTACTTATTTTATTCATCTTCTAAATCTCTTTTGATGGAGGAGATTTGAATATCTGGCAAGGGCAGACCATTTCAGATTCATGTTTGTTGGTATTGTGCTAAAGAGGTTTTGAAAGGGTCTTCCTATTGGCTTTGCTATACCCACAACTCCTGGTTCAGCTGACACCAGAGCTGTAGATGTTGGAGCCCAAAAGGGTGTTTTTGGGCCTATGTATCAGACACACTTCCGAGCGTTATAAATCATGTGAGAGAATGATGATTGCAAATGATGACTATGCTGATAGTAAGTTGTTTCTCTGTCCCCACTAGCACCCTCAGGCCTGAGCTTTCACTCTCCCTGGGTACTGGACTAGACATGCCTTTGGTCTGATACTGCAGGGCTCCTCTTCTTTTCTTAGAAAACAATAACACCGCTTTGAAATGCTTCAGAAACACATACCTGAGGAATGCAGTTATTTGACACAACTTGGGCTCATTTGAGAGAAAAAAAACATTAATCCATTTCCCATTGTCTGCTCAACATTTCTCTCCCATTCTAGCTTCACCCTTTTCTGAGAAACGTCCACTTTAACAATAGTGCTGGGGAAGAAATCTATTTTGACGTGAATGGGGGCTTGGCAGCTGGATATGATCTCATCAGCTTGGTAACTTTCCCCAATGAGTCTTTCCAGAGAGCCCAAGTTGGATGGGTGGACCCCCTGAGTCCTTCAGGGAAGGAGCTCACCATGAATGGCAGTGTTGTTGTGTGGAATCACAAGTTAAATCAGGTGAGAATGATCTCCACCTTCTCCTTCTTTACATTCACTGATATCTATTTTGTGAGAATAGCCTGGAGACTCACAAGATGGCGGAGGTAAATTTATTAACATATCCGGACCTCTTCCCCACCTCTGAAGAAGGAGGATTCAACAGTGCTCTCACAGGAGAAATGACCCAACCAGGAGATGCTCAATATTAAATGTGGGACCATTGGAATGCAAACAGCTCACCTCTGCATATCCACTGCTCTCTCAAAGGCTCCTTGGCTTGCTCAGACTTTTGCTACGAAATATTTCACAGCACCCCACTGCCTTCCATGGTTTCCAGGGGGTTACACTGAGTTGCACCCAGTGGTGAGCACACCTGAAACCAGAAGTTCAAGCACACAGAGCCAGTGTGGTGTAGTGGTTAAGAGTGGTAGACTCGTAATCTGGGGAACCGGGTTCGTGTCTCCGCTCCCCCACATGCAGCTGCTGGGTGACCTTGGGCTAGTCACACTTCTCTGAAGTCTCTCAGCCCCACTCACCTCACAGAGTGTTTGTTGTGGGGGAGGAAGGGAAAGGAGAATGTTAGCCGCTTTGAGACTCCTTAAAGGGAGTGAAAGGCGGGATATCAAATCCAAACTACTACTACTACTACTACTACTACTACTACTACTACTACTCTTCTTCTTCTTCTTCTTCTTCTTCTTCTTCTTCTTCTTCTTCTTCTTCTTCTTCTTCTTCTATTGGGTCTTTGATACTCTTCCCAGGCCACCACCCTCCCAGCCACACCTTCTACTGGCCCTGCCTTGTGTCATTGCTCTGTGATAATGCCTCTTGCTTCCTTGGATATTGAAAAAGGGTAGAGAAGTTGGTGTGTGTTGAAACTAGGTTGCTTTGGAGGAAAGGCAGTACATGGGCTGACCACCGTTACACTAAGACCTTGGCATATATCCCATAATGCACCCAAATGCTGAATCCTGAGAATGTGCTTTGTTAGAGTGCCAAAAAGATGTTAGTAAGATTTAAAAAACAAGTTCCATTTCCATTCTGAATGCCTTTTCTTCTGGTTCCTATTAGACCCCGCCCAGTTCCTCATGTGTGGAGCACTGCTATCCTGGACAAAGCATGTTTCCCAAGCAGGGAGAGCAAATCTGTTGCTATGACTGTGTACCATGCCCAAGTGGGAGGATTTCAATCCAGAAGGGTAAGTGAAGAAAAATAGAGCTATGTGGCAAAAAAGAAAAGAAATGTTTTTGATTTTGAAGCTTTGCTTCAAAAATTAGCACAAAGCTTAAGAGTTGCCATCAATCATTCTGTTACATGTCCATTAAGTTTGTTAGCACAGCAGAATGTATAGGCAAACTCCGGCCTTCCAGATGTTTGGGACTACAATTCTGATAATCCCTGATCCTATTAGCTATGGATGATGGGAATTGTAGTCCCAAACATCTGGAGGGCTGGAGTTTGCCTATGCCTGATGTAAATCATCTCCATAACCAGCCAATGAGCTGGTCTCTGCACTTTGCTGTGAAAAGAGAAGACAATTGAAGGATGGAACTTGTATTTTCTTTCAATCATTTAAACTGTGGATGGGGTTTGGTACAAGTAAGTTAATAAAATTTGGTACAAGTAAGTTAATAAAATTTACAAGTTAAAAATCTTTTAATAACATTTATTATTATTATTATTAGTTCTGTGTTGTGCAAAAACAAGAAAAAATAAAATAATGTTAAAGACAAAGACAAATATTGAATTGGTTTTTGCCAATCCTCTTTGACATATAAAGCCCTGAGAGAACAACCGTCGCACATGCTGAAGACTCAACAAACTGGATTCCATTACTTTCAGATGCAGACCAATGTGAGGACTGCCCAGAAGATCAGTATCCAAACAACAGCCAGGACAAATGTATTCCCAAAAGCATCAACTACCTATCCTATGAGGAGCCCTTGGGAAGAGTTCTGGTTTCCCTGGCTCTTTGCCTTTCTGCTTTCACAATTGCAGTGATGGCAGCCTTCATTCTGCACTGCAATACTCCTATTGTCAAATCCAACAACTGGAACATCACTTGCACCCTCCTCATCTCCCTGTTGCTCTGTTTTCTCTGCTCCTTCTTATTTATCGGCATGCCCGGGAAGGTGACCTGCCTTGTGAGGCAAACAACGTTTGGCATCGTCTTTTCCATGGCTGTTTCTTGTGTGTTGGCCAAAACAATCATTGTGGTTCTGGCCTTCATGGCCACAAAGCCAGGGAACAAGATGAGGAAATGGGTTGGGAAAAAGCTGGCTGTTTCAGTCGTCATTCTCTGTTCTCTCATTCAAACGGTCATTAGTGTAGTGTGGCTGAGCACCTTTCCTCCTTTCCCAGAATTGGACACACATTCTCAGGTTGGTCAGATAATAGTGAAATGCAGCGAAGGCTCCGATGTCATGTTCTATATTGTTCTGGGTTACATGGGTCTCCTAGCCATCACCAGCTTCACTGTGGCCTTCCTAGCAAGGAAGCTGCCTGATACCTTCAACGAAGCCAAGCTCATCACCTTCAGCATGTTGGTGTTTTGCAGTGTTTGGGTGTCCTTTGTGCCCACCTACCTGAGTACCAAAGGGAAATACATGGTGGCCGTGGAGGTCTTCTCCATTTTGATTTCTAGTGCTAGTTTGTTGGGCTTCATTTTTTCTCCTAAGTTATACATACTTTTCCTAAGGCCTGACCTAAACACCAAAGAGCACTTAGTAAGGAAGACAAACAGTGCTTGAGGCGGGAACTTGACCTCTTCCTGAGAAGGAGTGAATTGGGACACATGATGTCCCAATGTAAGGAGATACTGGCTAATCATGTTAGATGTTGAGATTCCTGCTCGATGTGTGCAGTCATGAGATCGTTGTCTATCAATGTATGTTTTCATTCCACAGTGTGGGAAGTGATGGAGACAGGATGTTTGTGTTACTGTGTTCCGTGATGTGGGACTATTGTCCTTTGTTCTTTCTCTCTTTGCTGTCTGATGAGATAGAGGAAGGAGCTAAGCCAGAATGCTCTGAGTGTATTATATGTAAATAAACGTAGATTAGCCAACATGCTGTGCTACTGAGTTCTGTTACGCAAACTGCGAATACTCTGCGGATCCTAAGCGTGCTAATGCCTTTTGGTATCAGTCGCTGTGATGTTTGGGATGAAGAAAGCTTTTGAAGCTCCCGAACAACCGACCAGGAGGGAGAGAACATGCCAGTTGGGCATGTGTCTCTGGCAGGGTCCTACATGAGAGTAGGACGCTCCTAACATTGAGAAGGCTTCCTAAACTGGCTCCTTTTCTTTCACCCAAGGTTGTTGGTGCCTTAGTTGATGTGCAATGAAAGCAGAAGACCAGTGTCAACATGGACTCCTTATTTATGTTACACCTTCAATACTCTAGAGTAGGCATAGGCAAACTCAGCCCTCCAGATGTTTTGGGACTACAATTCCCATCATTCCTGACCACTGTTCCTGTTAGCCAGGGATCATTTCAATTGTAGTCCCAAAACATTTGGATGGCCGAGTTTGCCTATGCCTGCTCTAGAGACCTTTATAGCTTTACATCTGCATTCATGATTTATGAGTAGTTCATCTGTTTGTTAAGGACATTTGCATGCCTCTTTCACAACTAAATGATTTAGGACAAGAAATGTCATCAAAAGACAAAGTATACTGTTATAAATGAAAGTGTGCAATAAACATCAAAACATCAACAACACCATGAGAGTTATTTTTCTTTTTTCTTTTCTCACATTTTCCCTTTGAAAATCTTTTAATAAAAAATGGAGAAAGGAAGGCACATCTGATAAAGGAAAGCCAGAAGAGGTGTGGGGGGAAGTATGGCTCCTGAGGGATGGCTGGGGGGCGTGGCTTGCCCTATTTAGGGCCGGAGCCACTTTATTTGCATATTCATGAGGTTATTTATTATTCATGAGCTTTCCCGGGCCCCCCCAATATTTTTTATAAGTCCGCGTCCCTGCAAGAAACTGGTGTGAAGTAAGCCAGTGTAAGTTAAGTCTCCCAACCACAAGGAATAGGGTGAGGATCCAGTTTAAGTCCCCTGTATCTGGTCACTCCTGGAGCCCCTCCCCTCTGGCTGCTTCTCAGAGCCGGCACATCACATGGGGCTGAACGTCTGAGGCTGCAGGCTCTCCTCCTCCTCACCCACTCTCCAGAATCTGCTATCAGCTAGCCAAGGGAGGAGGCTGGAAGCGGAAACCATGGAGAGGCCATGGGATGCTCCCTTGCAGCCATAGCTGCTGTTGTTGCTCAGGATAAGCACTGACTCCCGCTTCTCCCTGAGCTCCTCAGCTGGGGCTCTGGTGGGGGAAATAGGGACATTCCAGGATCAAATCAGAAGCCAGGATGGCTTTGTAATTCTGCGACTGACCCTGGAACATCAGGGCACTTGGACTCCTAGAGGCAGAATGGGGAAGTGACTGGACTGGATATTGAGGTGAAAGAAGAAGTATAAATTCCTCTCTCACACCCTACTGCTGCCTAACATGGTTAGGATTACTTTGTAAGGTCCTAGACTAGTTTTCTATGGACCTTTCCTTTTTTTGGGCATCTTTCTTCCCACAACTCATAGGCCACTCGTGATCTATTCAGAAAGTTAGGCCCCTTACCCAGCATGCATCATGGTTGCATTAGAGTTAACTAAGACCTATCACTCCCTCAGTGGAAAGCAGGTCCTAACTAGTATGTTCAGATCCCTGAAATGTGTTTTCTTTAGTTGTGTAGGGACTTACACCCTTGGGAAAGGTGATTATGAACCCTATAATAATCAAAATCACTATAACTGAGCTCTGCTTCTCATTAACACTTTATGGCTAGTCAGAATTAAGAAGAAAAACATAAGATTCAGCACAGTAGCTTACACTTTGCTATACATTACACAGTGTATAAATATTTTGCCAGATCAGTGCATGCTACAGAGGGAAGAGGAATTAATCTGAGGCAGGCAGTGTGCTGTTAAATAGAACTTTGTGACTTCATCCCTTAGACCCAAAACCCAGGTTAGAATTTGTTTATTCATTGGTTTGATGGTGAAAAATCCTCCACAGATCTAGGAAGTTCCTAGCAAAGGTCTGTGTCATTTGTACAGGGTTCTTAGTCCTTTATGGATGGGTTCCTGCAATTCCTATAAAGACAGTTGTTGATTGCAACAGCAATGTGTAGGTGAAAATGCAGGTACACAGCTGGGAGTGGGGCAGACATTTGCTGGCATTCAGAATTGTTTTGCTACTGCTCCTTCTGCTTCTCCTCCTCTTGCCTCCTGCGTGCAGCCAGAGTTTGAACTCTATTTACAGTGCACAAGAAAAAGTTCAAAACGGTTTTTCTAACTCCAAAGATAATATTGTCATTGGGGAATTTGTTTCTGTGCGACTTGCTGAAATGTTTTTGTTCAACTATAAGGCTAAGCCAGAGGCCAACCCAATGTCATGGTAAGTAAGTTGTTCTGTCTTTTTTTTAAAGAAAGGCTGATTTTCTTTTTTAGGTTTTTTATTTTCTTGTTTAGCTATTACATTTATCAAATTCTGCCCTGCTCTGATCTAAACCTCGAGTATAAAGCTTTCAAGTGTTGAATTCAGACAATGTCCTTCAATGTTCTTCATCTCTCACTGCCTGCAGCATCAGTTGATGATTTACACGTCTGAATGGGCCTTTAAAAGATCACAGTTGACATTTCAAATCACATCAGACACACTGGTAGCATCTCTTCCCACATTCAGCCACCATCTAAAAAAAATACAGCAATCAAAGATCATGGGAGGGCTAATCTTGCATCTACACGGGGGGACATACATTAATTCTGCAGGCTTCTAGCTTATTTACTCTGCTGGAGCAGGCAAAACATACTGAGTAATCTCAGGTCTGTAGAGTAAGGCAGGGAGAAGGTAGATTGGGATCAGTTGGTAGCTCTCTTGAGTTATTTAAATCAGATCAGCAATGATATTTTGCTTAACAATATTTATTCCCTCTTTCCATAATTTCCCCCAATCTTCTAATTGTATATTTTGACCAATATCTTTAGCCCAATAACTGATTTAACTTCTTCATCTTTCAAAAGCCATTCCAATAATAATTTATACATTTTAGATAATATTTAAGCTTTATTATTTAATAATTCTAATTCAAATCTCAATTTTATATATCCAAATCCATTTTTCTTTTTATTATCTTTAAACATTTGATTAATTTGACGATAATGCAACCAGTCTTTCACAAATATGTGTGCCATCTGAATCTGTTACCAAATCCTTCCAGATCTAATAGATCTGTGTTCTCCAACAAAATCCACTCCCTTAACCAACAAAGGCAAGAAGCGTCATAATACAATTTCAAATCCGGCCACCTCTCTCTTTTGTGTCTGTAAGTAGTTTAAATTTAATGACCTGTGGAAATCTCATTCCAGGTTAATGCCAAAAAACTACCAGCATGTCCTTGCCTTTGTTTTTGCCATTCAAGAGGTCAACAAGAATAATCACCTCTTACCAAACATCACACTGGTGACAGATATCTATGACAACGCATTTCATTCCATGTTTACCTATTGGGCCACTCTGGATCTTCTCTTCACAGGACATATAGATCCCTACAATTACAAATGTGGCAGGGAGCAGAAGTTAATGGCTATTATTGGTGGGCTCACCTCCCAAAGCTCAACACAGATAGCCAGCATCTTAAATACCTACAAAATTCCACAGGTATGTCTTCAGTTTTTTATGCAGAGTTGTAGTATAGATGCAATTGACCTGTGCATGTTCCCATCCAACACCCCTCTTGTGGTCGTCTCAGAAATTAAAGGGTCAAGAACTCTAATGGATCCTCTGAGCGGGGTCCTCTAGAACACATCTCATAATTCTTCTAGGTTTCTTGGAAGAAGAGGACCTTAGCTATCCCTAGTCCACTTTTTTCTAGGCTTGAGTTATTGTGTTTCTCCAGCTTCCTGCTCATAATCTACTTTGTGTGTGAACCTAGATTGCACCAATGATATTTGCTGGAATATAAAATTGTGCAAATTCAAGCTGTACTTTTTGTTTGTTCAAAGACAGCATATAGCTCTGCAGTTTTAACCATACCTATATTCTTATTGTTATTAGCTCACTTATGGCTCCTTTGACCCTGTGTTGAGTGATAAAACCCAGTTCCCTTCTTTCTTCCGGATGGCTCCAAATGAAAACCCCCAATATGATGGGATTGTCCAGCTACTGAATTATTTTGAATGGAACTGGATTGGCCTTCTCACCTCAGATGATGACAGCGGAGAAACATTTATTCAGGCTATGAGACCAAAGCTCTCTCAGAGTGGTATTTGTGTTGCTGTAATACAATCAGTTCCAATAGTGATAAGTCACACACCCGAAAACCGTAAAAAATACCATGAAAGGATAAGTTTTGTGCTCCATTTAAATAACATCAGTGTAATAGTTGTTTACGGAGATGCTCACTCTATGGCTGGTTTACAAATAGTCTTACATTACAGCGAATTTGTTCATCTGCAACCAATGGAGAAGGTTTGGCTCATAACATCTCAGTGGGATTTCACAGCTATTTTAACTTGGAATAAATTTCCAGCAAAATCCATCAATGGTACTTTGTCCTTTGCACTCCACAAAAACGTAGTTCCAGGGTTCCATGATTTTATTGAGAACATAAATCCATATGAGTCTTCAGTTTATTTCATCCAGGAATTCTGGTGCAGTGCGTTTGCCTGCTCACTCCCAAAGTATTATGTATATATGACAAACTGCACTGGAAAGGAAAAGTTGGGGGGCCTCCCTGGAGCTGTGTTTGAAATGGAAATGTCTGGCCAGAGCTACAGTATCTACAACTCTGTCCACATTGTAGCACATGCTCTCCATGCCATGTACTCATCAAAAACTAAAAACAAAGCTATAGGAGATCTTCTGAATGTTCAACCATGGCAGGTAACATATGGCATGTGTTTATTACCAATCAAATGCAATGAATTATGTGTGAGCTTAGGACTCAGATGCCACCCAATAGCTGCGTATGAGCCTCTCCACTCCCTCAGTGATGAAGGCAATTGGGGAAGTATTTCAAATACAATCCACAAAACATATAGCTCCTTTATGCTTTGTATATGCTAGATTTCTGACACCTGAAAAACATATCTTTCAATAGTTTTTTAAAAGAATCTTCTTCACTTTGATATGAGGAATTGAACAAAAATGAATGAATCAGTAAATATATCAGTGGAGCAAAACTGAGTTTGCGCTTTAAAAATGCAATGATGTAGTATGTAATGAGGTTGGATTCAGCGACTTTCTAATAATTTGTGCCATAACCAACGGCCTGTAACATCATTTTGCAGCAGTTTTCAATCAGCACTGTTTGTTACTGCATCCAAAAACAAAACTAAGTTCACTGATACATTGAGGAATATTCAACAGGAAATGGTATGAAAGAGGATTTTTAATAATTTGGAGATTTTGTAAAATTCTTCAATACTCTAAAGGAGCAGCGACCTTTCCATTTTGACAGGATGTTATACCATGATCTCCACTTACATCAAATCTGAAATGTTTGGTTGTGTAGTATTGACACAGCCCCAGTGTATCAAATTCAAAAACTAATGATGGGCTCCTTGTATGTCCTCCTCTTTTCAATACTCCCTTCTGCTTTTCTTCTTTTACTATTTGAATCAAACCGTATGAGGAAAGGTTGAAGGAACTAGGTATGTTTAGCCTGGAAAAGAGGAAAATGGGAGGAGATATGATAGCCATTTTCAAATATCTAAAAGGCTGTCACATGGAAGATGGAGCAGGTTTGTTTTCTCTTGCTCTGGAGGGTAGGCCTCGACCCCATACTGTAGCTTAAAGTTACATGAAAGGAGATTCGAACTAAACACACAGAAAAACTTCCTGACAGTAAGAGCTGTTCGACAGTGGAACAGTCTTCCTTGGGAGGTTCTGGACTTTCCTTTATTGCATATTTTTAAACAGAGGTTGGATGGCCTTCTGTTATGGATTCTTTAGTTGAGACTAAATGACTCTTGGGTTCCTTCCAACTCTAAGATTCTGTGTTGCTATGATTTTACATGGTATTGTTTCTGCTTGAAATCAGCTTTAACTTACTGCAGTATATGCTTTAGAAACAGTCATTAATTAACGTTGCCATACGCATTGTAGTCCAGTTGGATATTCACATGAGAAGGTCTTTATGTACGAATGTGGCCATCTTCAATGCCCACCCTTATAGAGTAATTTCTCATGTGAAATATCATAAACCAGGAACCTTGGTGCATCATCTTCTCAAGGTAGTCACACTTGGAAGCCGCTTGAGTAGATTTTCCTGGTGCACTCATATGTTCGATAGTGTCCATATGTCCCTTTTTGTAGATTTTTAAAAGTGTGGCATTTTTCAAACTACAAATTATTGCAAATTCACATTCAATGATGTTAATATAGTTGCAAGTAGGTACTGTAATCCAAAAGGACACTATGTGGCAAATTCAAGGAATATAGTAAGCTGTCCTACTGAGTCATACCATTGGTCCATCTAGAATGAGTGAATACTGTCCATTCTGGCTAACAGTGGCTCTTCAAGGTTTCAGATGGGAGACTTTCCCAACCCCCCCCCCGAAGATGCCAAGGATTGAACCTGGCATGTTATTAGGGATGGAGGATAAATTCAATTCAATTCGCATTTAAAGGTGAGCCTACCTAATTCATACTTTCTCTAAACTCTGTGAAAACCAAAACACTGCCATCCTTCGACATTTGCACTTCTAAACATGGTGCAATGCAGTTTTCCAAGTAAGTAAAATGTACAAAAATGTAACGTATATACAAGAGTAATGTGTGCATATCTATATGTGTATATATGTATATATTAGTGAAAATACAAGATGCATTATATCAGGAAAATTTTTATTTTGCAAAAATGTGTCCAGTTAGCAAAATTGCATGCAAAAGTGTGATTATTGGGAGATTTGCACTAAAATGCTGGTGGGTACTCATGAGGACTTCGGGGAAAATTTCAGATTAAAAAAGAGAAAGAAATAGAAACCACAATGGACAGATTTGCCGATCCCTCGGTCTTCTGAATGCAAACCAGTGCCCTGTTACTCAGGAATGTTCTATCCCTACTGCAGACTCTGGGACCTGTTTTCTAAACTTTTTTCTCCTCTCCTCTAGCTTCGCCCATTTCTGAGAAATGTCCGCTTTAACAATAGTGCTGGGGAAGAAATATTTTTTGATGAGAATGGGGATGTAGCAGCTGGATATGATATTGTCAACTGGGTCATGTTCCACAATAAATCCTTCCGCAGACTCCTTGTTGGAAGGATGGACCCGAAGCATCCTGGAGGCAAAAGGTTCATAATCAATGGAAGAAACATTGTGTGGAATCACAAGTTTAATCAGGTAAAGCATCATTTTTATGGCTAAAGAATAAATAACTACATAAATGATATGGATTGACTATAAACAGAAACTCTGCAAATGTACCCAGTTCTTTACCCTTTCCTGTGCTATTACTAGTACTGAATAATATAGCAGCAGAGCTTACAACCACTGGTATCAAACAAGACCCCTATTCCCTCCATATCTGTGGAATGGGAGTGAAATTGCATCTTCTTTCCTTTCCCACTGTGTGTTGCTTGTACAAAATGAGACCTGTAGTCATCTGGGAATTGAAATAACATTTGACTAGAGTGCATGGGCCTAATATTATCCAACTGTAAAATTCTTACATTGATATACAGTGGTACCTCAGGTTAAGTACTTAATTCGTTCTGGAGGTCCGTTCTTAACTTGAAACTGTTCTTAACCTGAAGCACCACTTTAGCTAAGGGGGCCTCCTGCTGCCGCCGCCGCGCCACCGGAGCACAATTTCTGTTCTCATCCTGAAGCAAAGTTCTTAACCCGAAGTACTATTTCTGGGTTAGTGGAGTCTGTAACCTGAAGCGTATGTAACCTGAAACACTACTGTACCGCCAATGGTATAGGAATTGACAGTATAATGCTTTCTGCACACAGAGGACCTACCACTTGTGTGTCTTCCTCTTGCTTCAGACATAGCCAAAGGAAGCTTCATTCATTCATTCATTCATTCATTCATACATAATCTCTCTTGCAAGTCTGAGCTCATTCTGAGCTTTGGTCCACGTGATAGTAACACTGTAACTGTTGGCTACTTGAAGGAGTGTGGGATGCTATCCCAATTATGTTTATGAGGATGGACTAATCAACCCACACTAATGCTCATGAAAATAACTGGGATGGCATCCCACACTCCTTCAAACACTACATTCTATACAGAAGGGATGTGGAGAAAACCAGGTTATTTCCACCATAACCATTATAACTTGTGGTTACCATTAGAAGACACCTCGTGCCAAATGTGTTGAAAGCTGCCACCCTGGATACAGCAGAATCGTCCAGCAGGGGCAACAAGTATGTTGCTACGGTTGCGCTCAGTGTCCTGAAGGAAGGATTTCTGTTCATATTGGTAAGGATGTGAATAATGAAGCTATGTTTCGTGTGGGGACAGGGGGGCGGGCAGGGAATGGCAAATGCTCTGCATTTCAGCCTAAACTAATTCCCACATTCTTTCCTCTATAATTGGGGAGGGGAACCCATGGACCACTAGAGATGTTGCTCAACTACAGTGACTTCATCCTTGGCTGGGGGCTAAAATCAGTTTTAGTCCAATGACATCTGGAGGACCATAACTTCCACACTCCTGCTCCAGGATAGATATTCATCTTGGATTGGTGTAGGCCACAAAAGGACTGTAGGCTATATTACGTATGTCGCCAAGATGTGGTGCTGCTACTTGCCCCATGGCACATTATTTAAGTGGCAGGGTCCTCTCTGGCCTTGAGGGCCCCCCACTGAGGATACTCTGCTCAGGATCCCCATGAAATCCAACAACCATAATGAGAAGGGTCTGTAACCAAAATAATATAGGAGCAACACCTGGAGTATTTCACCATAAATACCTTTAAGCCCTTGATGCTGTTTCACTGTGATCACAGCAGACATGCAGAAAGGCACACTGAACCTTGTCAATGCCAGTAAATCTTGCTTCATTCTGGAATGGCAGATTTCTTTGGGAATCCGTTGTATTGGAATGAGATGATTTAAAACAGAGATTGCAAATATGAGTTTATCTTATCCCTAATGGAAATATTGAAGGAGCTCAGTTCAGCTACCTTATATTCAGTTTTATCACATGATTCTTCAGTGATGCTGAACAACGTTTGACCATTGAAAGTCAATGGCATGTTATGAGTGGCACAATGAAGAGTAAAATATCTCAGATAAAGCTGAAAAATATTTGCGTATTAGATAATATTTGGAACGTTAAAACGTTAATTTCAGATGCGGACCAATGTGAGAAGTGCCCAGAAGATCAATATCCAAATGAGGAAAAGAATCAATGCATCCCCAGAACTGTCACCTTCTTATCCTATGGAGAACCTTTGGGGGCAGTTTTGGCATCTTTTGCTCTTTTCTTTTCCATTGTCACGGTTGTGGTGATGGGGAGCTTCATTCAGCACCACAACACACCCATTGTCAAAGCCAACAACTGGAGCATCACATGTATCCTGCTCTCCTCTCTGCTTCTTTCCTTTCTGTGCTCCTTCCTCTTCATTGGCCAACCTCAGAAAGTGACCTGCCTTCTTCGGCAAACAGTTTTTGGAACCATATTTTCCATTGCAGTTTCTTGTGTGTTGGGCAAGACCATCACTGTGGTTCTAGCATTCATTGCTACTAAGCCTGGAAACAAGATGAGGAAATGGGTCGGGAAGAGACTGGCAATGTCAGTCGTCATTCTCTGTTCCCTTATTCAAATTGGCCTCTGTGTTGTATGGCTGGTAACCTCTCCTCCATTCCTTGAGTTGGACACACACTCCCAGATGGGACAAATAATAGTGCAATGCAACGAAGGCTCAGTTATGATGTTTTACTTTGTCCTGAGCTACATGGGTCTTTTGGCCATCATCTGCTTCACTGTGGCTTACTTGGCCAGGAAGTTACCTGATGCTTTCAATGAAGCCAAGTTGATTACCTTCAGCATGTTGGTCTTCTGCAGTGTTTGGGTGTCTTTTGTTCCATCCTACCTGAGCACCAAAGGGAAATACATGGTGGCTGTGGAGATCTTCTCCATCTTAGTCTCTAGTTCTGGTTTATTAGGTTGTATCTTCCTTCCCAAGTGCTATATTATTTTAATGAGACCTGATCTGAACACCAGAGAACAGATAGGAAAGAAAAAAAGAGATGATGCTTAAACCTTCAAATTCTTTTATTTCTTGAAGGAAATAAAATGCCATGAGGAAAAAATGGGAAAGGCAGCGAATGAAGCAAATTTATTTTCTCTGGTTTTCTAATGTGTTTTAAACTCAGTGGTCATCTCACATGATAACTACAATACACACACACACACACACACACACACACACACACAGACAATATAAGCCATCCAAGCATAAAAATGAATGTATCTATTTTATTAAAGTATGCTTTATTAAAATTTGTTGTTATGAAAATGGTCTATTTAAAATAAAAAGGCTACAGTTTGGTATTCTTTCTTTAAACGTTTTCAAACAATTAGATCACAAAAGGACCTTTTATATGATTCCCCCCCACCACCATTTTCATCCAGAGGAAATATTGGGTTGTCTACTGGGAAGGTAGAAGTTATTTTACTGCGTTCCAGGAGATGGGTACTTATCACTGGCCATCCTTGGGCATTAAGCGGGGAAAGGTTTGAATTTGGGAAAGGTGTCTATTTGGACCCCTGTCTGAATGGATAGAAGCTTATTTTGTGTATTTGAAAAGGCTACTTTAAATGTGACTGGAGTCTGCAACAATGATAACTTTATGGAGTGCTTCCAGGCATAGAGGCAATTTTCTTAAAGTAAAAGAACCAGGTCTTCCATTGCAGTAGCTGAAATAATGCAAACTGCCTTGAGGGACAGAGAGCTTTAGGTCTTGACAGATAGTTCACCTCACCTCATGTCATGGGTTAGCCAACCCTGCAAGATGTGGATCTTGAGGGAAGTTCAGCTGAAATAAGGGGAAGGGAATGGAAGGGGGTTCATCCCCTCCCAGTCCAGCTTCAATAGGTGGTACATAGCAGGCAAACAAGGTCAGGGTTGCTGATTTTTCAGCTTTTCATTTTATTGATATTCTATAGGGGTGCAGGTCACCCAGCAACCTTTGTAAAAAGTTACTCCCAGAAGTTGATATTAGTAGTAATCTGTTCAGAGACCTTCGCACTTTGATTCTCACAAGGCTTATTAAACCCTTTCATTTCTGCATGAAGAGCAGACTTTGGCTGTGTTGGGAGCCTTTAAGAGCATTTCCTCTGATGGTGCAGGGACTTGAGAACTTCAAGGAATGTGATTATCTGAACTTCAATTATCAAAATTACTGTGATTGTGCTCAGCTTATTCTAGATGTGCTGTCACTAGCTGGAGGCCCTGCAGAGAATAGCTAACAGCTGGATTCAATGCAATACTTTCTGCTGAGTTATAGTTAGCCTATAAAGCCTCTATCAAATTAATATATGTGAGAAAAATAGGGGCCATGAGAGGGAAGGGTACTTGTGTCAGATGGAGCTCTGATGAGTAATCAAACTCAAACTTCAGTTTGGAACCTTTATAGTTAAAGGATAGGTAAAAATTTCTCTGTCCTTTCTGAGTAATACCTGGTGGATTTGGACTGGCAGCTGTGTTTTCATGAAAATTAAATGCACATGAAAATTAAATGCACATTTCTCTTACAGAAGATTGTGGGGATCTAAATTACATTAACATTTCATTGCAGGATATTCTCTAAACACTATCAGCCTTTGTATTTGCCATTCATGAAATCAACAGAAGTGACAACTTGCTCCCCAACATTTCTCTGGGCTCAAACATACAGGAGAATGCTTTTAATCCAGAAAGAGTGGTTTGGTCTATTTTTCATCTACTCGTCACAGAAGAAGGGAATCCCCTCAATGACAACTGTGCCAGGGAGAAGAAGCTTATGGGCACCATTGGTGATCTGACCTCTCAGAACACCATCCAGTTGGCCAACATCTTGAATACTTACAAATTTCCACAGGTGTGAGTCTCCATATTCTGGAGCTGACTAGTGGTGCAGTCTTCCAGTGTCTCTCAATACAGAAGGATACCAACAAAAAACGTGTGTCCCTATCACAACTTGTAATATTCAGAGAGTCTACTTGGGCAACTGAGTAGGGTCCCATAAACAGCCCATCATTGCTTTAAATGCAAGAGTACCAAAACTCTCCCTTACCCACCTTCTCCCAAGCTGAGCTTTACCCCAGCCAAAGAGTAATTGTTTTCCATCTCTTTTTTGACTCCATTTAGGGTAGTTGTCCTAAAATTATAAAATTTGGCCTATAATATCAGTTGGCGATTCAATTGGATGAAGGACAAACTATATAATTATGGCTTTGGAAAAAGGAAACAACAAAGATAAGAGACATAAAATAGAACAAATATTTTAGTAAGGTTTCTACCTTTCTGATTGTGAATGCAAATAAATAACATGAATATGAGGGATGGCTTTAATAAATAATTGAGTTATGCAATGATTGGATGCAGAAGTTTGAGAGGGCTAGACTTTTTACATATATAATAATCAACTTCCCAATATTTCTGTGTTTTTTCTCTCTTTTAGCTGACTTATGTTTCTATTGACCCAGTGTTGGGTGATAAAACTCAGTTCCCTTCCCTCTTTTGAATGGTTCCAAATGAAAACCCACAGTTTGATGGCATTGTTCAGCTCCTGGAATATTTTGGATGGAATTGGATTGGCCTCATCATATCAGATGATGATAGTGGTGAAATGTTTCTTAAAACACTAAAAACCAAAGCTGTTCAAGAGGGACATTTGCAATGCTATGACACACAGAATTCCAACATTTAATATTAAGTCCTTTGCTGAAACCCTTCTCCTTGGACAAAATCAATGTGGTTCTTGTGTATGGGGATGTTCAGTCTATGGAGGGTCTGAGAAAACTTCTAGGAATTTAGGAGAAGGTTATACATCCAGTGGAGAAGGTATGGAATATAAGAGCCCAGTGGGATGTTACAGTTACTTTTACTGCAGGAAAATTCACAGCAAAATCCCTAAATGGAACACTGGCCTTCACACTCCACAGCAACAAGGTGCCTGGATTTCAGGACATTGTTGAGTCCATAAATCCATATGTCTTCAATATATTTCATGCAAAATTTCTGGTATTCTATTTTTCACTGTTCACTCCCCAAATATAACCGGTTTTTTATAGGTAAGCACAATTGTACTGTAAATCTGAAATATTAGTACAATCACAGAACCCACATAAAACAGTTGGATGTTGTGATTAGGGTAACATGAATTTAATGTACAAATATATAAACATAAGGAAAAAAGTATTTGCATTTAAAAATGAAGGGACATTCAACACATTAGCCAGAAACTGACCTGAGGAAGGCCTGACCTAGATTTGGGCTTGAATCAATTCTCATGATCAAATGTTGCATTAGAGGTTTCTTGGACTCTATACAGTCAGGAGAGGATCAAGGGAACGAGACACTGCTTCCCCCTCCCTCCCTCCTGCCCTCCCTTTACCTGACTACGCCACACCTACTTCCTTACTAACCTCTCTTTACTGTTCATCTGAGGCCTAAATAAAATGATGACAATTTTAGGGAGGAAGATGCAACCCAGTAAGCCAGCAGTAGAGGCCAAGATGGAGAAGATCTCCACAGCCACCATGTATTTCCCTTTGGTGCTCAGATAAGTGGGGACAAAGGACAGCCAAACACTGCAGAAGACCAGCATGCTGAAGGTAATCAACTTGGCTTCATTGAAAGTATCAGGCAACTTCCTGGCAAAGAAAGCCACAGAGAAGCTCACAATGGCCAAAAGACCCATGTAGCCGAGAATAAGATGGAACATGATGTCGGAGCCTTCATTGCACTGCACTATGATTTGCCCCTCCTGGGAGTGCAGGTCAAACTCTGAGAATGGGGGAGAGGATGCCAGCCACCCAAGACAGATGCCAGCTTGAATGAGAGAGCAGAAGGTGATAAGGGATCCTGCCAGCCTCTTCCCAAGCCATTTCCTCAGGCTGTTCCCAGGCTTGGTCACCAAGAATGCCAAAACCACAGTGAGGGTTTTGGCTAACACACAAGCCACAGCAATGGAGAAGACGATGCCAAAGACGGTTTGCCTCAAGACACAGGTCACCTTTGTAGGCCTGCCAATGAATAAGAAGGAGCAGAGAAAGCAGAGAAGCAGAGAAGAGAGCAAGGTGCAGGTGATGCCCCAGTTGTTGGCTTTGACAATGGGAGTGTTCCAGTGCAGACCGAAGGTCCCCATCACAACAAGTGTGACCAGAGAAAGCAGGAGAGCCAAGGAGGCCAGAATTGCCCCCAAGGGCTCCTCATAGGATAGGTAGCTTATTTTTTTGGGAATACATTGGTTGTGAAAGGCATTTGGGTAGTGATCATCGGGGCATTTCTCACACTGATCTGCATCTGAAAGTGAGAAGCATGCTTTTAGCATTTCTGGAAGTGATACTTATTAATATTATTGGTACTGTCTGTTATGCTGTATACAAAACATATTACTGAGCTGATGAACCAAAGCCTATTTTTTCAAATACGTGATGGTTCCTCTCTAAGCATCACAGCTTTACTAATTAATCTATTCATATTTATTTGTCATGGTTAGCGTATACTGATTGATTTCAGTCTTTCCCCCTTAAACATGTCTTTCTCTGCATCCAGCCCCATGTCTTTGCATTTCAAGGCTTGTAGCCCAAGTGTTTCTTTTTTACACTTTCCAAAATGGAGCTTGTCAAATCTATATTTGACAAGAAATAACTGTTCCTAAGGATTGGAACTGTGTGGATAAAATAGAAGAGATAATTCACTACTTGTAAATAACAGAAGATGCAAATTTGTTGACTGCAGGTTCAATAGAGAGAAAAAGAAATCTACGGAGTGCAGTTCTAACCATTTCTACCCAGATGGATGTCATGCTGATTTCAATGGTGGTTACTTCCATGTGGACGTAATTTCACACAATATACTCTAGAATGGCTGTCCAAAGGGGAGGGGAGATTAAAGAAGAATAAGTATCAGTAACGTAAACACATGTGCTTGGCATCCATGACAAAAAATAAGCTGGCATAATAAGACTAAGACATGAATGTCTGTGTTGGAGAGGAAGATGGGAATTCCAGTTGACTCGGGTTCCTTCACTTACCCTTCTGGACTGAAAT